GGAACCCATGTGAGGTCATAGGACCTACAGGAATCAGCTCTCTGCTTCCACCAATAAGGTTCTGAGAATCAAACTCAGGTCTTCAGGCTTGGCTGCAAGGCCTTTACACTCTGAGCCGCCTCAGCAGCCCACAAGTAGAGCGAGCTTGCTTGCTTGCTTGCTTTGTTTTTTAAACAATTCTTTAGTTTACTTTTTTCCTTTTTTTTGTTTGTTTTGTTTTTTAAGACAGTTTCTCTGTGCAACAGCCCACCTGTGGAAGGTCCAGGTCCTTCCTTCTGGGCTGAGCTGCATCCAGCAGGATGAGGGGAGGAGAGGGCACTGGGTTAGTTACACAGAGGCTGGCTCAGTTGTGGCACATGACCATTGCCAAATCTGTTATTAAAGGACCGGGGAACAGTGGATGTGATTGACACTTATCTGACAGTGACCTGGGCCGTGTCAGGTGCTCTGGATCCAGCTGCTGTCGTCTCTCTCGGTATCTCAAGCAGGAAGGGTTTGCAATCCTCAGCCCTGCACCAGGCTGATCACACAAACTGGTGTCATCAGGGGAGACGCCTTGGCAGTGTGGGCGAACTTCCCCGAGACAGAACTCTGAGGGGACGGGTTTAGAAAGGTTCTCGTGGCAACAGGAGTCTGAGAAGTGGTGAGGAACAGAAAACAAACAGTAAACTAAGTGATGGCAGGCAGATCCAAAGAGATGTGACATTTTGCTGGGGACATGGCCGGCTCCCAGCGGGAGAGACAAACCATCTTGCTTCTCAGCAGAGCCTTGCTTCTGTGAGGCATGCAGGGTGGGCTTTTAAACAGGCAGTGGTGGAATAGAGGAAACCCCAGTGGGGAGACGGCAGATACCAAGGTACTGATAGTCCAGGCCCAGACTGATTGGTCAGCTGCAGCCACAGAAAGGCCGCTATACCTGGAGGCCATGGGGGGGGGTCGCTATACCTGGAGGCCATGGGGGGGTTGCTATACCTGGAGGCCATGGGGGGTCGCTATACCTGGAGTCCATGGGGGGGGGGGGTCGCTATACCTGGAGGCCGTGGGGGGTCGCTATACCTGGAGGCCGTGGGGGGGTCGCTATACCTGGAGGCCATGGGGGGTCGCTTTACCTGGAGGCCATGGGGGGTCGCTTTACCTGGAGGCCGTGGGGGGTCGCTATACCTGGAGGCCGTGGAGGGTCGCTTTACCTGGAGGCCGTGGGGGGGTCGCTATACCTGGAGGCCATGGGGGGTCGCTTTACCTGGAGGCCATGGGGGGGTCGCTATACCTGGAGGCCATGGGGGGTCGCTATACCTGGAGGCCATGGGGGGTCGTTACTGCATTCCATCATTATTAGTAAAGCATGTCCAGAGTCCACCTGTTAACGCCTGGTTGGCTCCTTACCACATGGTGGATACCTGGCAGTTTCTTCTCAGTAATTAGGGCAAGGGTGAGCAATGTCAGGGGCTCAGCACATCCTTGGAGTCAGAGGCCTACTTCTTGCTGGGTCTTTTCTGCAGTCTGTCATGACTGCCAAAGCAGCGGTGGGGAGGTGGGAGTTGGGAAGGGGGTTGTGGGGGTAGGGGTAAGGTGAGGGTCTGGACCCTTCAAAACCTAGTTCCTCACACACACTGGCTAAGTCCTTGTGCATACACTCCCATCCCCTTGAATCTTTGTAATTATTTTGAGACAGAGTTTCACCATGTAGCCCAGGCTGTCCTGGAACTACTAGACCATGCTGGCCTTGAACTCGGAGATCTGCCCGCAACCACCTCCCGAGTGCTGGGATTAAAGGTTCCATGCTCTCCTGAATGTGTGTGTGTGTGCTTGTGCATGTCTGTGTATGGGGGCCGTTGGATCCCTGCAGCTGGAGTGACGGGCAGCTGCCTGATACGGGATCTGGGAACAAACCCAGGTCCTCTGAAGAGCAGTATGCGCTCTAAACCACAGAGCCATCTCTCTAGCCCCAGATTTTTCTTAGCAACTGGTATATACTTAATTTTATGTGCATGGGCGTTTTGCCTGCCTGTATGTCTGCACCCTGTGTATGCCTGGTGCCCAAGGAAGACAGAAGGAGGAATCAGATCCACTGAAACTGGAGTTACATCCAGTTGTAAGGGTGCAGAGAGCCCAACCAGGTCCTGTGAAAAAGTAACCCATGCTCTGAAGTGCAAAGCCATCTCTCCAGCCCCTGGTTTTGGTTTTCTTGTTTGTTTCTTTCACTTAAAAAAAAAAAAATCTATAATGGAGGCAGGAGAGATGACCCAGGAGTTAAGATAAAGCATTGGTTGCTCTTGGATTGGACCTGTGTCTGATTCCCACCATCCACATGTGCCTCACAACCATCTGTAATCCCAGCTGCAGGGAATCTCATGTCCTCTTCTGGCCTCTCCAGGCACGTGGTACACAAAATTCATGCAGGCAAAACACCATTTTTAAAAACGTTAAAGAAGTCTATAGTTGTTGTTGACTTCTTTCCCCTTGGCAGGATTTCCCTTGTGGCTGAGGCTGGCTTGGAACCTGCAATCTTGTTTCTAGCCCCCTATTACAGAGTTTTGTTTATTTTAAAATTTACTATATATATATATATATATGTATATATATACACACACACACACACATGAATGTTTTGCTGCATGTATGTGGCATTCCTAGTGCCCTAAGAAGTCAGAAGAGGGAGTTGAATTCCCCGGAACTGGAATTATGGATGACTGTGAGCCATGTGGGTGCTGGGAATCGAACCCAGGTCCTCTACAAGAACAAATGCTCCCAACTACAAAGTCATCTCTCCAGCCGCCTACAGAGATTCAAAAAGTATAAGTAGCAAACAAAAAGCTAAAGCTGGGACCAGACAGATGGCTCAGGAGTTAAGAGCACTTGCTGCTCTTCCAAAGGACCCAAGTTCAGTTCCCAGCAACCACATGGCAGCTCAGAGTTGCCTGTAACTCCAGTTCCAAGGGATCTGATGCCTTCTTCCCTCTCTAGACACCAAGCACACACACACACACACACACACACACACACACACACATACGGCACACAGACATACGTACAAGCAAAATGTTTTAACACATAAAAATAAATGCAATCTTTTATTTTTAATGCCCTTGGAAAACAAAACAAAACCCCTAAGGCAGCCATGTCTGTCCACGCCTAGAGTGCCAGACATTGGAAACCGAGGCAGGATGACTCTGCCAGGTAAGACGGTGAAACATACTCTGGGGTTGGGGGTGAGGCGCTGGGCCCAGGACTGGCTTACCCCTACCTCCATCTACTTAGGAAGCTAAAGCAGAAGGATTGGGAATTGAGGCTGTCATAAGATTTGCCATGAGTTCAAGGCCAAACTGGGCAACTTCACCCTTTCACAAAGTAGAAACTAAAAAGAGTTCTGAGGAGATACCTCAGCTGATCAGGGCTTACCCAGCATGCACAGGGTCCCCGTTTCAAACCTCAATACCACGCTCTAACGGAACCTGACTTGATGCCTGCTGAGGAATGCAGCAGTAAAATTTTGTATTTTTGTAATTAAAGCATTGTGTTTCCATAAGAGCAGAACGACGTCATATGTACAGTCAAAACACTGCAGTTCACAACATGCAAGAGCATCCAGTCTGCGCAGAGGGGTGTGAGGCAGTGTTTGTGGTTCTGTGGTGACGACAGACCTCAAGCAGATGCGTGTGTGTGTGTGTGTGTGTGTGCGCGCATACAGACCTCAGACTGCACGTGGTGTGTGCGTGCAGCCTTCAGTGACGTTGCAGAAGGCAAGGCAGCTGCGTGCTGCCGTGAGGTCCTGAGTGCAGTCTGAATCTTTGGTCATCTTTGGGAGTCCAGAAACTTTTCAAGGCCCAGCATGCAAGAAGCTGGGTTCCAATATACACCAGGCCCTGGCTTTGACACCCTAAAGAAAAGAACCTCATTTGTCTCACAAAAGATTTCTGCGAAGAATTTGCATCAGACACCGTAATTAGGAGGAGCTGCTGATGCCCCCCTGAACCCCCACGATGAGGAAAGGCTGCCTTCTGTTCTCTGCTTCTGCGCAACAAGAGGAGTCAGGCTAGTGTTTGGAGGCAGATTAACAGTCCAAACTTCTTAGAGGCTTTTTCCCATGGGGTTCAGAAAGACAGGAAATAAGACTCAAGAGAAACCACTAACAGGGTGATGGCAGCCCTCTTCAGCTTCAGAATCTCCGATTTCTCCATCTCGATTTGTTTCAGGTTGGAAACAAAGCAAAAGCAGACAGAATCTCCCATCAAGATTGGACTTGGGACTAGCCTGGGGATGTAACTCTGTGGTACAGCATTTGCCCAGCATGTGGAAGGCCCAGGTTTGATCACCAGCATGAAGAAGAAGGAGAGGAGGAAAGGGGGATGCTGGGGAGATGGCTCAGTGGTTAGGAGCTTTTGCTGCTCTTGCAGAGGACCTGCGTTCAGTTTCCAACACACACGCGCACACACACACACACACACACACACACACACACAGTGACAATCATCTGTAACTTCAGTTCCAGGGCCTCTGACGCCCTCTCCTGAGCTCAGGAACTAGATGCATATGGTGCACATACACACATGCAGACAAAACACTCATTCCTAAAATCAAAACAAGTCTTTGAAGAAGAGGAGAGAGGAGGAAGAATACCCAAATGATGCTTGGATCTCACGTTAGGCCAAGAAGAGGCCTTGTCCTGTCACCTCATGAGAATCACACTCCAGAGAGGAGAAACAAGCTCCCAGGATGCTGCTGTGGCTCACTGACCGTTTCCCTCTTTGTTCAGAAATACGAGCAGACATTACATCAGCGGCAAGTGGTTCTAGCTGCCGGTAGCTCTTCTGCCCCGGAGCTGAGGATCCATCCACAGAGAAGCGAGATGCGTCGGCACTGCACAGCACTGCAGCCTGCCCCGTGGCACACCTGTGCCCTGATGACATCACAGGCAGGATGCAGGGGCTGGCTGCACCCAAATTATGACATCAGCAGTACTTGGGCCATCCTCAGAGAAAGGGCATCTGGGTAGGAAAACCATGAAACAACAAGCCCAGGGGGAGGAGAGAAGACGGCAGTCGTCAGCCCCCAGGTAGGACATGAGGGGACGTTCTCAGCAGCTGAGGAGTGAGGCTCGGTCCAGGTCCTGGTCTCTGACTCTATGGGTCCTTTTCCTTCTTGCCACAGGACAACAAACTCTCTGACTCTTGCTGCCATGCAGAAAGTCTCACGTAAGTTCAAATTTCTGACCTCCCCTCCCAAGGGCCAAGGAAGTGGTTTCTTCCCCACACCATCCTGTCCTTCGTTCTCTCACCATCTTACCCATCACCGGGGCTGAAACCAGGCAATACGATTTTCATGTCCACCCACGTGCAGGCTGGCTAATGACACAGCTCTGGCACCCCGTGGTCAGACAGCCACTTCTGAGAGACAAAGGATGTAAAAAGGAACGTGCCCATGGTGTAAAGAACATGTCCCTGCTGTGCAAGACCACGTCGCTGGTGTAAAGGCCACTGTCCCCACCCCCGCCATGCCTGGATTTTCTCTGTCTTCTCAGGACCAGTCCAGGACCAAGTTCCCCCACAGCTCTCTTCCCAGTCCTCCCGAGTGCCTCAAATCCAGCTCCTGGCCAGCAGCAACAGCAGCCAACGCATGCCGGAGGACCAAGTCCTCTGTCCCATTTGCCTGGAGGTTTTCCGAAATCCCGTCACCACCGCCTGTGGCCATAACTTCTGCATGAGTTGCCTCCAGAGTTTCTGGGACCACCTGGCTGCCATCGGGGAGACGTACTATTGCCCCCAGTGCAGAGAGACCTTTCCCACCAGGCCCCGCCTCTGCAAGAATGTCATTCTTGGGGAGATGGTGGCTTGCTTCACCCAGGCCAAGAGCCAGACCTCAGGGCCCCTGTGGAACCTGGCTGGCCCCACAGATGTGCCCTGTGACTTCTGCTCCCCGCAGAAGCTGAGGTCAGTTAAGTCATGCCTGCAATGCATGGCTTCCTTGTGTGAGAAGCACCTACGCAGCCACTTTGAGGACCAGGTGTTCCAGGACCACCAGCTCCTGGAGCCTGTGTGGGACCTCAAGAACCGCCTGTGCCGCAAACACCGCAAGCTCCGGCAGCTGTACTACCGCACCGAGGGCAGCTGCGTGTGCGGAACCTGCCTGCTGGAGGAGCACAAGAACCATGACTCCACCCCGCTGGAGGATGAACGGGCCCGTAAGGAGGTGAGGATGGGTCTGTCACGTTTCCCCGAGGAAAGTAACACAGCTCGGGCCAGGCTTTATGGCACCAGTTACTTGAGATTCGAAGGCAGGAGTTGGAGAGCCCAGGAAACGTAAGCGACATGAGAACCCAAAGACAATTAGGCAGGGCCTCCAAGGTGGCTCAGCGGGTAAAGATGCTTTCTACCCTGGTGATCTAAGTTCCGTCCTCAGGACCTACATTTTAGTGGAAGGAGAGCTGGTCGTGACTATACAAGTAATCCCACCATTTGGGAAATAAAGGCAGGTGGTTCTCTGTAAGATCAAGGCCAGCCTGTTCTACGTAGTTTCAGGACAGCCAGAGCTACGTAGTGAGACTCTGTTTTTGTTTTTTTTTTTTAAAGGTAATCTGTTGGGAGGCAAAGGTAGGCAGATCTCTGAGTCTGAAGCCAGCATGGTCTACAGAGCAAGTTCCAGGACAGCCAGGGATACACAGAGAAATCCTGTCTTGGAAAAAAAAGTGAAAGATGAGGGATGAGGGCCAGCATCCATATGTGAGCCTTGGCATGCTCACAGCCTCCCGCAATAATAATCATTTTTCTCAGGCAGTTGCTAACATGATGGGTCACGTTACAGAACAGGAAGGCATTAAGTTAGGTTACTAAGGAAGGGACAGAACTGCATGTCAGAAGTCTGTATCTGCGGAGAACAATGCGTGGTGAGGGGTAGGAAAGATTGCTTAGAGTGTCTGCCTCGGAGATGTAGCCAGGAAACGCCTGTGACTTGCTGCTCTCAAGAAGCCGTAGAAAGGGTGGCTGGAGAGATGGCTCGGCAGCTAAGAGCACTGGTTGCTCTTCTAGAGGACCTGGGTTTGGCTTCCAGCACCCACATGGCGGCTCACAATCAGTGTTTGTAACTCCAGATCCAGGGGACCAGAGCCCTCTTGGAAATGCACCAGGAAAAACACCCATGCACTGTAAAGTCATAGATAAAATGTTTCAAAAGGAAAGAAGTAGAAAGAAACATCTGTTGCTTCCTAACTCTTTACATTTTCTTTCTTTGGTTTTGTTTAAAGCAATCTTCCCCAGCCCTTCCCCATGTATAGTTCAGCAGAGGAAAACCCTGTGAGCACTTCATTAAACAACACTTCTAGGACCCCATGTGCTTCTGGTGTTCACTGCAGCCCCCAAGAGAGGTAGTGGATGCTCTAACAACTAGCACCGCTTCTAAGAAATTAACCTTCTTAGCAGGTGCTGTGGGAACGGGTTATTGTGGCTAGCCTGATCTACATAGGTAGTTTCAAGCCAGCGAGGGCTACATAGTGGGATCCCCATTTCAAGGGTCTAGAGAATGGCTCAGCAGTTAAGAGACCTGAGTTCTGTTCCCAATACCCTCATGGTGGTTTACAGCTTTAGTTCCAGGGGATCCGATACCCGTCTTCTACAGCCACAGCCACTAGGCACAACAGAGTACACAGACGTTACATCTGGGCAAAAACACCCATCCACATAAAAAGTAATGCTAATAAAACAAAAAACAAAAGCTGGGCATACCTGAAGTGCTAACACTTAAGTAGCTTAGGCAAGAGGACTCCAAGTTCAAGGTCAGCCTGGGCTACATAAAATCAACTCTGCTCCCCCAAAAGAAATCAGAATGTGGAGATGGCTCAGTAAATAAGGTGCTTGTTTTTATAGAACCTGAGTTCATGGTGGGGCACGCTTAGAATCCCAGCACTGGAGAGGCTGAGGCAGGGGCATCGCTGGGGCTTGCTGGCTAGCTAGTCTAGCTGTATCGATGAGCTCTCGGCTCGGTGAGAGACCTTGCTACAGAAACAGAGGGAGAAGGAGCTGGAGAGGTGGTGCAGTGGTCGAGAACTCGGCTCTTGGAGGACCTGGGTTCAGAACCTAGCACCGCCGGGCGGTGGTGGTGCACACCTTTAATCCCAGCACTCGGGAGGCAGAGGCAGGCGGATCTCTGTGAGTTCGAGACCAGCCTGGTCTACAAGAGCTAGTTCCAGGACAGGCTCCAAAACCACAGAGAAACCCTGTCTCGAAAAACCAAAAAAAAAAAAAAAAAAAAAAAAAAACCTAGCACCAAACCTCTGTAACTCTGGTTCCAGGAGATCTGATACTAGGGACGGTGTAGTGCAACTACCTACATGCAGACAAAACACACACACACACATATGCAATACATATATTTGTAGATATATATTGGTGTTTTTGAGACAGGGTTTCTCTCTATAACAGTTCTGTCTGTCCTGGAACTCACTATGTAGCCTAGGCTGGCCTGAAACTTACAGAGATCCCCCACCTCTGCCTCCCAGTTTTGTTTTGTTTTTAAAAGAAAATCCAGCAGCAGGTGATTGAGGAAAATAATGTTAATCTCTGGTTTCCACATATACATGTACTAACATACATATGCACCTATGCACACAGGTAGACTCACATAAAAACACATGTATGCACGCTTGCACACACACACACACACACACACACACACACACTGCAGCTTAAATTAACTTCCTTTTCCCTTTCTTCTGCCAGCCCCTTCCCCTCGCAGGGTCTCCCGTACCCCAGTCTGATCTGGAACTCCCTGAGTCTGAGGATACCCTTGCCTATACTTCCTCAGTACCTAGTTTCTCGTTCTTGCATTGCTTTTAGAAAAGAGTTCTCTGGATTTTAGCTAGCCATCAGGCACATTCGGTGTCCTGACATAACCTAACCAACCATCATCAGTCTGCTAAGAAAAGGAACTTACCGTCAGAAAAGAGCCAATGACATCGCTAAACGCATCATTTAGTTCAACTGACCCATTGATGGAAGCCCTGCCTGGCCACAGGCTGGCCTGGCCAGCACCGATTTTCACATAGGAGCTTGCCAAAGCACGAATCTCCCTGTACCAATGTTGCTTATGGACTTATGTAGGTCTGGAGCTGGGCAGCATTGCTCTGGGGTACCCAGGTGTCTACATATAAGCTCCGCCCTGCGTGGTTCTCACCGCGTCCTCCCTAGCTGAAGCTGCTGAACCCTTCCCAGCACTGCCTGTGTCCTGAAGCCTGCGTTCATCACTATTAGGAGCAGAGAAACGGGTTCCTATGAATGAAGAACCAGACTCTGGGGCAGTGGAGGAACAAAAACTAGAAGCATAAATGACAGCTGCCCTTCAGCCCTGGTCTTCGGCTCACAGAAGCCTAGGAATAAAAGGGGTCCATCTCGCCCAGGGTTGGCAGTTGAGTTTCTCCAAGGACTACTCTCTCAAGACCCCCGGGGGAGGGCAGTGGGGGACCCTTCCTCCACCCCTACCTCTCTTCTGCCCCCCCCCACCACACGTTCCAGGTGGAAGTTCGGAAGATTCAGGCCAACGTGGAGAACCAGATGCTAATCATCGCCTCCGACAGCCAGAAGCACCACGGACGAGTAAGCTTTCTCTCGGTAAGGTGGGCCACCACCACTCCAGGCCCAGGCTATGGGGCTCTTGGAACCTCCCAGAAACTACAGGGGGGTGTGGTGAGGGGAAACAGTGAACACTTGGCGAGGCTCTGTACCAGGAGAGTCGGGTGTAGGAGTAGGGTTCAGGGGTGCCTCCCTACACACCCACTCCAGAAACTGATCCAGACCATGCGAGATGAGGTGAACAACTGCTTCTCAGAGATACTTCACGAGATTAAACAGCTGCAGATACAGGTCTTGGAGTTTGTGGAGAAAGAAGAGGCGGCTGCCCTGGGAAAGCTGGGCAGTTCTATCCAGCAAAGCCACAACCGGCTCCTGACGTTGGAGGGGGACAGTGTCTGGCTCCAGAGCCTGCTCACCAACAGGAGCGACGAGCAGTTCCTGCAGGCAAGACCCCCCCCCCCCCAGACCAAGAACCCCCCTCTAGACCAAGAATCCCCCTCTAGACCAAGCCCGGTCTTACATACTGAAACCCATTTTCCTCCCTAGCCATGGTCTGGTGTTACTGCAGGGCGGGGGTGGGAGGTAAATAAAGAGATAGGGAAGTGCTAGGCAGGGTGGCTGACCAGAAAGTTGGCAGCGACTTTCTCTATGCACTGGGACCAACCTTTATGTCTGGGCCCTCCTTAGCAGGGATCTCCTTCCTCAGATTACCCTCATACCCCAGACAGATTTCAAAGACCACTCCTTCCTTGTCCCCCTCTGGACAGCAGGGTGGACTTGACAATGATCTTGATGAGCAATTACAGGCTCAACTCCAACCCTCCAACCGTTTTCTCCAGCAGCCAGACTGCCACAGACGCTCTGCCAACCAACCAGGAGGAGGCAGATGCTCACGGTTGAATGAAAATGGGTGACATTTCCTCCACTCACCTGTGGAGGTGCCCCTGGCAGGTGTGTGAGCCCTAGCTAGTGGGGTACTAGCTTGCCCCTCTCTGCATAGCAGGAGTTCCCCAGACTGAAGCACTACCCTGCCTGCATGGAACCCTTGATGGGCACCAGCTATGAGGAGACGCATTGCTTCCTTCAGCTGCCAGAGACTCTGGCCCAGCTCCGCACCCGGCTGATGGACATAGGCCTCAGCTTCGTCAACCAGCTGCTCTTGAAGGGTCAGTTTCTGCGAAGTCTGGAGTCCTGTGGCCTGAGAGTGGCACCTTCCCGCGGGGCACTGTCTGTGGAGCCCTGTCTGCCTGTGTTCACCCTTCCCAGGTCACCGGCTCCAGGACTGGTGAAGCCTCCCTCTGGAAGGATGCTGGGCTGTAAGAGGGTCCTCAGCAAAGCTTCTCCATCCCCCCTCCCCAGGCATCAAGATGAGCTCCTATGAGGTGCTACCCTCAGCTGTGGACAGGAAAACACTACTTCAGTGTGAGTTCTCAAACCAGAGGCCAACCCAGGGGAGGGGAAAGGAGAAGAATCCCTAGGGGCTGTAACTCCCCCGCCTCACCTGCCTTCAGGGCACTCCCTTTTCTCTTTCCTGACCTCTCACTGAATACTGGGGATCTCAGAGAGGCTTAATAGGAAGAAAGGGAGACCCTGTCCGTTTCTACCTCAAAGGCAGCCCTTCTGAGACTCTCTGGGCCTTATGTGTCAGTGCCTCCTGCCCTCATCTGGGAGGCTCCCAACTTCCCTGGGGGGTTAGCCAAGTCAACTGGAGTAGGCATTATGCCTTCCTCCGACTCCAGACGTCCATTTATTTGATGTCCCTACAAGCCCTCTCCCTGGTCTTGGCCCCAGAACCAAATTCCCAAGGCTTCTGAGAAATTGGGGATCAGATATGGAACATCTTTGACCCGTGGGTCACCTCAGCCAGGAACCCTTCACCCTCCCCCAGTCTCATTCCTGAACAAATAAGAAAGGTGATTATTATATCAGGGTCTGACATTGGGGGGACCCTGTTCCCAGCCCCTCCAGAAAAGTCCAGCATAGGACAGGGTCTTCCAGTCTTAGTCCTCCAGGCTGTCTGATGCAGCCCCTAGAGTGCCCCAGCAAAGTTGGCCTTTTGTGGGGAGGGGTTCAAGACAGGGTTTTTCTATGTAGCCCTGGCTGACCTGGAACTCACTATGTAAACCAGGCTAACCTCAAACTCAGAGATTCACCTGCCTCTGCCTCCCGAGAGCTGGCATTAAAGGCCTGTTGTCAACACTGCCCGAATAAATTGGGCTATTTTAAGGAGCATGCTTGTAATCTAACATTTGGGAGGCTGAAGCAGGATGGCTACCTCAAGTTCAAGGTCAGCCTGGACTAACCTGGGCTCAAAAGCACAAGAATAAAATAGATGAGAACTAAACCAGCAGGGAGAGAGGGTGCCACTTCTAGGATCCTGGGGTGCAGTCTGAGTTCTTTCCAAACACCTGCTCCTTGCTCACACCCTGCCCTGGGAACGGTGACCTGGGCTCCCTCGTGCTTTCTCATCCCGATGCCAGGTTACTGCAACCTGAACTTCGACCCCGCCACGGCCAGCGAGGAGCTCTTCTTGTTCAAGGAAACGCACTCGGTGTTGAACTTGGGCATCCTTCTGGAGCCCTCGACCACCAACAGCCCTTTACCAGGCTTCAAGCAGTGGCCCCAAGTGTTGTGCTGCCCCGGCCTGTCGGAGGGTTGTCACTACTGGGAGGCCGAGGTTTCCAACTCGTGGATATGCCTGGGTGTCACGTACCGCCACTGTCCTCCGCTGGGCAGCCGCCCCAGTCGCAACATCGTCTACCTGCTGGGCCGCAACCCTTACTCGTGGTGTCTGGAGTGGGACTCGCTCAAGTTCTCGGTGTGGCACAACAATACGCAGACGGTGCTGCACGGCTCCTACCACCACACACTCGGCGTGGCGCTGGACTTCGGCGCCGGCTGCCTGTCCTTCTATGGGGTGACGGGTGACATGAGCCTCCTCTATCGCTTCCTCACCTCCTTCCTCGAGCCTCTGTACCCTGCGGTCATGGTCGGCAGCGGAGCCTCGCTCACACTCAAGCAGTACTCCGAGGCATAGGCAGCGCCCGCCGGCACAGGCTGGCTGCCAATAAAGTTAGACTCTATGTAGTGGCTGGGCAGAAGTGCTGAGAGGGTGGCAGGGGCCGGCCTGGCGTGGTCCCCCGCACCCAGGACAAAAGTGGGGGCCCACCTGCTTCCCAGCCCTATTTCTGAATGCTATCTGCCATGCCTCCATTAACACGGAGGGAACCAAACTGGAGGTCCCCTGGGGCTGGGATAACGTGTCCTTCAGAAGCCAAAATCCTGCACCATCCCTTACACAGTCCATCAGCAACCCTTGGTCTTGCTTCTCAGGCCCATCTATGTCGCTCCCCGCTATCTTCAAAGGCTGCGAAGCCTCAGGTGGGGCAAGGCTTGAGCCAAGCAAGTCTCCAGCTGGCCCTGGAGGGTTGGCCAGAGACCTAGCTCATCTAGATGGGGACAGGAAAGTCAGGGCTGAGGAGCCAAACCCTATCTTAGATGCAAGACGTGGGGCTGAGGACTGAGGTCCAGGTGAGAGGTGGTGAGCAGTGAGCTGACCTCCTTAGAGCAAAGCAGCCGCAGCCAGTGCGTTCTGCAGCGTGTTAGGCTGTGGATACCAAGTGGGTAACCAGTACCTGCCCCCTCATCTTTATGATGTGTGAGAGCCGCTCCTTGCCCCTCCCCCATGTACCCACTCCACTCATGGGGGCTGTGGACACTCAGGCTTTTGTAATCTAACTCACCCCGTGAGAGGCCTGAAAGTCTGTGCAGGCTCCATTCAGGGCCAGTCCAGGTCCCTGATGGTTGGAGTGAAGCCCTACCCACCCACCCCCCACATCCAGCTGAGGGTTCCTGTCCACTGGGAAAGCACTCTGGATTTCCAGACTCAGCCAGCCAGCCGTGGTTCCTCTGGCTAAGTTAATGATCCACAAAATGAGAAAGTTCACAAGAGAGAAAGCCCCTAGGGCAAGGCAGGTGGCAGCCAGACCAGGCGGCACCCCACCACGAGGACACTTGGGAATGCAGTTCCTGCAGGAATTAGTAACCCTGTTTTCTCCTTGAGGCACTCCTTTTGGGATGAGGAGGGCATTGCTGAGCTTCGAAGGTCTCCTGAGGTGCCGTCCTGTGGCTGGCTGGGACTGAGAGGTGGTCACTTCTCCCTGGCGTCTTCTCTCGGCTTCTGAGTAATTTCCCAAGGCTATGAAATCTTCCTCGTATTGAGGAGAGAGGCTTTCCTTATTCCTGGGGCCTAGATCACGCCTCTGCTCCCGACTCTCACTCTTCCTGGATCAGGAAAGGAGTCAGCAGGGCATGTGGTGGGCCATATATGTAATTCTAGCACTCAGGAGACTGAGGCAGGAGGATGAGGCAGGAGGATTGCTGCTTCCTCCAGGGAGCTGACCAACCTGCTTTGCCTACCCCTCCACCCCCCAGATCGCCAAGGCATATAGCAACAGGATGGTTTCTGAGAAGTCGCAGTATCCTGGGACACACATCCAAAGATTTGTATCTGCTGCTTAAATAGCTGCTCTTTATTTCAGGGTTCCTTATTTGGGGACTCCATGTGTTATCACTAGAGGTGGTGTCCTTAAACCAGTAAAGAAAAAAAAAAGTCGAGGTCCCTTTGGCCATGGCTCAGCACACCACAGGAGACTATGTCACGGAGGGGAGAGATCACGTTGGAGGAAATGGGCCTCCTAATGACTTCCCTGTGCTCAGTGCGCAGATCCAGGTACCTGGGTGGGGACACCGTTCCATAGTAGAGCGCTTTCCTAGCGTGCTCCACGGAAAAAAAGGGATCACTGGGCACGAACAATTCTAAATCCAGTAGTGTATTGATGCCAATTTAACTATGTATCAGAGACGGGGGCTTTAGAACATGTGTGTCCCCCCCCCACCTTCCCACTCCAGGTGAAGAAGCCAGGGCGGGAACTCACTCTGGAATATCACCTACACCTTTAAATTCTCTAGTTCCTGCTCGAGGACTTAGCACATTTCTTTGATGGAGAGGGAGATACAAAAGTCAGGGCTCAAGCTTCACCTACACTTCACACAGGCCCTACCCCTGACCTCTGTCATCAGTGCATGAGTTTCTAACAGGATCCTTTGGTTTGGGTTTTTGCTCCATCTTGTTTTTTTTTATATATATTTATTTTTATTTATTATGTATACAATATTCTTTCTACATGTATGCCTGCAGGCCAGAAGAGGGCACCAGACCTCATTACAGATGGTTGTGAGCCACCATGTGGTTGCCGGGAATTGAACTCAGGACCTTTGGAAGAGCAGGCAATGCTCTTAACCGCTGAGCCATCTCTCCAGCCCTCCATCTTGTTTTGAAACAGGCTCTCATTATATAAAGCTGGCCTCAAAGTCAGCGTGGCTTAGACTGGCCTTGACCATCTGATCTTCCGACCTGTGCCCTCCCTAGTGCGGAGGGTGTGGGCTGAACAATAGTCCACCACCACAAACTGTGGTGCCACATGCCAGCCTGGGCTGCATAGCAAGCTCCAAGCCAGACACAGCTAAATAGACCTTGCTGAAGGAGGAAAAAGAGAGAGAGAGTCCACAGGTGCTTTATTTTTAGGAGTACTTGGTAGGCAGAGACAGAGATGGCTCCGTGGTTAAGAGCACTGGTGCTTCCTGCTTTTCCAGAGGCCCTGAGTTCGGTTTCCAGTACCCATGCTGCTTGGCTCACCACAGCCTATAACTCCACTTCCTGGGGATTCCACACTTTGAGGTCAACTGTACTCCTGTGCACGCAAACACACACACAACTGTTAAAATGATAAAAAAAAAATTAAAAAGTTTTTCACCAGGTGGTGGTAGTGCCCGCCTTTAATTCCAGCACTCTGGACGCAGAGGCAGGTGAGTCTCTGTGAGTTCAAGTCCATCCTGATCTACAGAGTGAGTTCTGGAAGAGCCAAGACTACACAAAGAAACCCTGTCTCTCAAAATAATAATAATAATAATAATAATAATAATAATAATAATAATAATAAAAACAATAAAAAGAAAGAAAAGAAATGTTTTTCATAATCTGTAGTTTTCCATATAGAAAGATTGGACCAGATTGCCACTACTCTTTGGGAGGCAGAGGCAGGTGGATCGCTGTGAGTTCCAGGCCAAGCTCGTCTATATAGTGAGTTTAGGACAGCCAGGGCCGAACAGTCTAGATTGATAGATGAAGGGATGACCAATAACATCTTGCCGTTTCTAGTTGTAAAAATTTTAATTTTTTAAATTACTCTTTGTGTGTGTGTGTGTGTGTGTGTGTGTGTGTGTGTGTGCGCACACGCACCATCATACATGCGTGGAGGTCAGAGCACAGCTTGCCTGAGGTGGTTCAATCTTCATTTTGTGGGTCCTGGGGATCGAACCCAGGTCATCAGGCTTGGCAGGAAGTACGTCTACCTGCTGGGCAAACTCATCAGCCAAGATATTCTGCTTTTAACAGACACTTGCAACATGTCAGCCACGTCTCTAGAAAATGAAATAAAAAGAGTATATTAGCATTTAATCCTCATATCGTGTTACTCATCCCCACAGCACAGATGAGGAAGCTGAGGAGTGAGAGGTCAGGAGGCCTACCCGAGGTCACACAGGCAAAGTGCTTGGGAAGCCTGAACTCAAACGCAAGCAGTCTACCTGTTTGTTTTGTTTTGTTTTGTTGCTTTTTGGTTTTTTGTCTGTTTGTATTGAGATAGGGTTTCTCTGTGTGATCCTGAACGTCCTGGAACTCACTCTGCAGACAAACTCTGTTGCTGAGATTAAAGGCATGTGCCACCATCACCCAACCAAGCTTTGTTTTTGTAATGTTACTTCAAGTTTGCCCAGAGTCCAAGAAGGGCCAAAAGATGCTAGTGGGATCTCTTCATCCCATTCCTATAGGTGGACAAAGAGAGAGAATTGAGACCAGAAGGCCACAGCCTGGAATAGAGCCTTTTACCCATCCCTCCACCAAAGAAGGGGGCTGGCTATTCGGGATGCCCTGGTCAAGGTCCTTCCTGACATGGTGGACACTCCACGACATTATAAAGTCTCCGTTGCCCTTTTCCCGAAAAGAAATCTAGGGGAAGACACCCCGCAGTTCAGGAGAATTGGGCTGTCTTCATCCTGCCCTGCTGGCCCAGTCCTTCACCCTAGCCCTTGGCTGCTCCTCTGAGTGCCAGGCAGCTTTGCTGAGTTTCCTCACCACCACTCCCTCATCCCAAATCATCTCACCTCCTAACTTTTGCCTATGCCTCTGTCTGCCTGGAGCGTCCTTCCACACCCTGACTCATACCTGTCTTGTTCCTGCTTATTCCACGGGACTCAGCTAAAGTGAGCTCCGGGGAGCTGGCCTTGAGCTCTCTGCTAAGCCAGGGGTCGCCTCTTTTTTGCATCCACAACACCCTGTGTGCAATGTCGCTCCTGCACACTCTCTGCCTTCGGTTTCATGTGTGACTTCACCAGGCTTAGGTTATCCGAGTATCACATCTGTGTCTCCAGTGTTGAATGCACACCTGATTGCTGTGGAATAATCTTTTTGTACACTGGGAAGATGTGTCACTCAGATTAGTTTAATACAAAGCTGAACGGCCAATAGCTAGGCAGGATTTGGGGGGCAGAGAGGATGCTGGGAAGAAGAAGGGGGGAGACACTAGGATTCAGAGCAAGCAGCATAAGCATTACAAAGTAAAGGTAACCAAACCACATTAAAAAAAAAAAGATGGGGGCTGGAGAGATGGCTCAGAGGTTAAGAGCATTGCCTGCTCTTGCAGAGGTCCTGAGTTCAATTCCCAGCAACCACGTGGTGGCTCACAACCATCTGTAATGGGGTCTGGTGCCCTCTTCTGGCCTGCAGGCATACACACAGACAGAATATTGTATACATAATAAATAAATATTTAAAAAAGATTAAAAGATATAGGTTACTTTAAGTTATAAGAGCTGGTTAGAAATAAGCCCAAGCTATTGGCCAAGCTTTCATAATAATAAGTCTCTGTGTCATGATTTGGGAGCTGGCTGGAAAGACAGAGAAAGACTCGCAATACC